AGTCCCCTGGGCCTCCAAGTAGTAGCGCCTGGCAAAGGACTCCATCTTAAACCAAGCCTAACCGCGTACCATGGCAAATTCCGATGCATTGGCCTCATTTTTGCCTCGGAATGTCTGAATCCTGCTAGTTGGGGGGGGGAAGCATGTTGGATATGTCTGTGAAAGCCGCCAGTGCACGGAGGGGGGGGGGGGGGGGGGGNNGGGGGGGGGGGGGAAGCATTCTGACATCGAAACCCAGCAGACAAGGCGGGGAAGCATGGTGGTCTGGGTGTCTCTCGAGTTTTGCTGGTGGTCTCCTGTGGTCTCTTGGTGTTTTGTTTTGCTGGTGTCATCGTGGTATTGGTTCCGATGGACCATCGTGGTGCATGTGAATTGTGCGTGGTCTTTTACTGCTTGGGATTTCACGCTGGCACGAGATGATTTGTATAAGGTACAATCATGAACTAACTCTGTGGGTATACATGGGTCGCGCAGGGTGATCGGATCACCTACTTGGAGGATAATGGGAGCAAGTAGCGTTATAAGCAAGATAACTATTGGCGTATGATATCTACCCGTAGCCCTAATCATACTTATAACCCTACTTACTAAGTCCCATGACCCTGCAAGTAACTCAAAATTTCAATCGGTGGTACAGGATTTAAAGTTTACTAGGGCTCTTGATGATCCAGGTTCTTGATATTCATGCCCTACACAATTTTTTAAGGTACCAGATCTGTTTTTTTTTAAGCGCCCCTACATTAATTGAGGAAGATCTGTCATATTATGCTCTGCTAGATTCTTTTTCTTTGCTTCCTATAAGGTAGCTGCATCTGCCCTCAAACCCTTGCACCCCAAACCATAAACCCGAACCTCAAACCTGGATTACAGAGTTAAGGGTTGAGGGCTTGGGATTTAGGGTTTAGGATTTAGGGTTTAGGGTTTATAAGGTTTAGGGCATAGGGGTTAGGGTTGAAGCTTTCGGGTGCAGGGCTTAGGGTTTAGGGGAGCCCTCCGCCTCTGTGCTGTTGACCAGGATGCCGCCCATGAGGCGCACGCTTCCCCCAGGAAGGCGCTTGAAGACCAGCTTCCGATAGATCCTGCCGGGTCTTAGAGGCTTTTGGGTTTGGGAGGTTTAAGGTTTAGGCTTATAGGCTTTTGCCTACAGCGCTGGGGCTCCAAATAGCCTTAAGCCAGTATTCCTTTAGAGATTCAGGGTTTCGGGTTTAGGGATTCGCGTTCAGGGTTTGGTTCTAAGACCAGAACATAGATACAATGTTCTAGACTCGACTTGAGGCCGTATACCGTATAATGTGATAACCCCACGGGTCTAAATGACCCAGTAATTAGGTACTTTGGCAGCGGATAGTAGCTATCTAGGTTAATGTATATCCCTAACCCCCCAGGTACCTACTATATAGGGCCTTAGGGGCTCTAGTACCCTATATAGTAGGTAACTGGGGGTTAGGGTATGATTATTAGGCACTTGAACCCATAGGGTAAGGTGTTCACAGGCCTTTATCGGCCTACAGGGTGATATGATACGGCGCTCAACGGGCTTTGGCGTAGGTTTTCATGAGGCTAAAGGACTTTCTGAATGAGGTCCCTTGGTAGCCCAACACCCCTAACTAGACCTCAAACCCAAAACCCAAACTTCAGCATCTTGGATCGATTCGGGAAGATACCATAATAGAGTAACTAGTATTGTTTCCTGATTAAGGCAGCTTAAATAAAACCCCTTAACAACAGCCCAAGAAAGACATTTAGGGTCTAAAGATCCAGTCCACCGGGTTAGGGCCTTTGTCTCACGCTCAGTGCCTGAATTCAGCGCTTGGGGGCTAGGTTTCGAAGCTCCTACATATAGAACCCCCAAGTGTGATCCCTTGTTTTGACCTGGGTTCAGTGTTCAGGGTTTGGAGTTTTGGGCTCTAAGACTTAATTAAACCCGACACCCCGAACCTTTACCCCAATAGCTTCGAGGGAACCCTTAACCCTAAACCCAAAACCCTTAATTTCACCAACACTCGCTCTTCCGCCTCACGGACGTCAGAGCTGTTACTGAACTTGGGGTTTAGGGTTTAGGGTGCATACTGCCACTGTAGAAAACTCATGGGAAAAGGGTGCTGAAGTTAGGGACCCAGTGGGCATTCGCTTGCCTGGAACCATTCAAGACTCATCTAGACTGGTCGTTGAGAAATAGAGCCCATAAAAGTTCGGGCCGATGCGTCCGTTTCCGCCCAACAAACCCAGCGACATCCCCGCCTAACACTTCTTGGTGAATCTTAACTTTGGAGACCGTAACAAAAGTCTACGCCGCAGCATTGCATAGCCTTAGTGACACATGTTTTCATTTTACGAGTAAGTCGCGACATTGGCATTCCCGGAGTCAAGAACCCCCAATAAAGCCGTGTTTGGTCACAAAATCCGCTACTAGTTCCATCCACGACATCCTGCTATCATAATCGACATTCGGCACATACCACTCCCCATCCCTAATGAAGTCAATGATGGCCGCCATAGCCGGAAGACTTTGGGCGCAGATCCCCAGTTAACGTTTTCAAGCAGGACGTCTTCAGCAAGCATCCAGGCTGACCATTCCCCTAAACCTAAACCCTAAACCCTAAACCCTAAACCCTAAACCCTAAACCCTAAACCCTAAACCCTAAACCCTAAACCAAAACCCTAAACCCCTAAACCCCTAAACCGACCATTCTACCGCTTGCATCGGCCCGAGTTCTGCAGCCCAAGAGCCATTCCCATGCTTGCAGCAGCAACAAAGGTTGAAGTGCCCTGCGGCTCGTTCACCCTAAGGGTCCATGTACCCAAATAGATATACTTTGGCCTTAATTAGAGTAGTCCCTATATAAGTACTTTGGGACCAATGTATATTCTGTTTGGGTACATGGACCCTCAGGGTCATGCATCCTCTGCAAGCCTGCAACGGTAGCAATTGCCAGATTAGCTCCGGCTCGAACGTTCCGAACGTTCGATTGACATACATACTCAGCAGTCCTGCTTTGCTTGGCAGAAATATTGAGCCAACATCTTCTGCACCCATGCAGTTCGGCGGGCCCAGCAGTTTCAGAAACAGGTCCGCTTCATCTTGTGTGCTTGCACTTTCGTCAATCCCAAAGCTCCGATACATGAGCTGGGTTTCTTGCCCAGCGTTCCAGTTTTTTTGGGGGGGAGCCCAATACCCCTAATAAACAAAAAAACCCAAAGAAACCCCAA